TGTATGAAAAGATATAGATTAAAAATAATATAAATAATATAATATCTCTTTTATTTATATTTTTATATTTATTTTCAAATGCCAAGATTATTTTACTCAATTGCACGTGTCAACGGGTCAATGTGGTTTAATTTAACGCAATTGATGTCTGATGACGGCAAGATTCTGCGGTAAGAAGTAAAGCCTAACCGGCCTATTTTAGTCGATCCAAGATGCACTGCCTTGAGGTCTTGTGTCACTCTTCACGACGGACCCTCTACATTAGAATTTCCAATAAAGCTATCGCAGGTGTAAAAAACGTATCAAGACCTCCATGAATCATGTGTCGTAAAGCGGAGCCACCAAGACACGTGTATCTGTTATGCTTTCTCTCAGTAATTCGCGAGATGGTTTATGCACTCATTCACCCGTTCTCTATCTCTCTTTCTGCATCGCTATAATCTGTCCTGCACCATCATCCATTCAGTGTCAACGGTTCGATGATTCTGTGATAGCAATTATTTTCATTGAAATTAGATTTCAATCGGATATGAAAAATAATTTGAATTATCTGTAAATATTCAACCTCTAAGCAATTGCAAATCAATGATATAACATCATAAATAAATAATAAGTTGAACAGTAAGAATTTTAATATATTAATTATTAATAATTCTATTTGAATGATATGATCACTGTGTTATTTTCCATCAACGTGACACATGGGTTTATTGAAGTTTCTATGAGAAAGATTTTTCTGTTGAAGAACCCTATGATTAATGTTATTATTCATTCGACAATTACGAATTTAACAGATTACATCAAATTAATTGTAATTATCAAGTTAAGATTAGATTTCATGAAGTATCATAGTTAGTTTACATATAATTTTGAGCCAATACGTACTATGAATTAGTAATTTGTTATGGATCTAATATGGAAATACAGATTATATCTTTGATCTTTATATGAGATAAAAAGTTTCACATACATATATGGACACACATAATAAACGCAAACTAATATTAAATATCGAAATAAATATGTAAAACAAAGCATATGTAAAGATAATTTAATTACGATTGTATATAATATTTATACATTATATGCTTTTGTAAATTTAGCGAAAATAATTCTGTTATCTAGATAATCAATAACTCGTAATTTATATATTTATTTAATCAAGAAAAAAATATTTGATACAGATTTAGTATTTGTATTTAAATTTAAATATATATATATGTGTGTGTGTGTGTGTGTGTGTGTGTGTGTGTGTGTGTGTGTTGTATTTGAATTTATATTCGAGTTTCAAAGAACATATAAGTACTCGAATATCTGGATAATATATATCTGAAAACTTCAATTAAAAATTGTGAATTTGCAATCATAATTAATGCAATTTGTTTTGTAGAATTTGTAAAAATAAACTTACTTATTTTTTAAATTAAAATTGATGTATGTACATATATGTATATCAATTTAGCATAAAGCATTTAGTTATGTACGTATATTTATTTTATGCTAAAATTCCGTATAGCATGCAAAAACAAATTTTACGCAAGAGAATTGGCAGAGAAAAAAATATATTCAATTCGAGGTTCACAGCTAAGACGCGTTGCACAAAAACCAATACGTATCCGCGTGCCGGCCATGATGGATTGTCGGAGCTATGGGAAACTATCTGTCAAGCACAATATCGACCCTCGCCCTCTCTGTCCAACCCCTGCAAACTCGGGGTTCACTCTCGTTGCTGCCGTCCCTCCTGGGGGGTGCGTTCTGCAATGTAGGTTTACCTACACATTGCCATACAAACCTTTCTCAGCTCCATCCTCTTCCCCCTCTTTTTCCGTTTTCGCCTAAATCTTCGACCATTTCGCGAATAACCTATCTCTTCTTTTATAGACTTTTGTTTGCCTGAAAACATGCCTTAACGCAATAACTGCAAACTTATTGTGATATTCAAATTTATAAGAAAAACTCACTCAACATTTGCGCATATACATGTTTATTGACTGTTTATTTAAACATACATAGGTTTGTCATTTAATTTTAAATTAAAATGAATAATAATCGGATATCTTAAGAGATTATTTTAGATCATAATTTTGATCCTTTTGAATATTTAGTTAAAAAATATAATATAATTTTAAGTTTTACAAAGTATATGTACACTTTGATACAATTTTGCTTATGTTCTATACATTATAACGTACTTTTGAATTGCGATATAATCAGCATCTGTATTGCGGGTATAATATACACGATTATATACATGCAGCAAGTAACATTAAAGATTAAAAATAAGTGATGTATAAAGAAGAGCTGTATCAAATTAATAAGTGTTATATCAGATACAATTGGAATTGGAATTGTATCTAACAATTCTGGATTAAACTGTAAATAATTAAACAAAAATAATTGTTCATTCGATATGAGTATGGTAATTCGTTAAAGATAACACAATAAATCTTTTCAGCTAATTTATGAGTTTAAAAGAACATTAAAAAGAATTTTTAAATTCTATTATATTAACCTTTAAATTCTAATAACCCGGCCATGAAGAAAAAAAATATTTTCAAGATAATTTTTGAATTTATATCACAAAAATATTAATTTACAAGATGAATTAGACAATTAGTTTTGAATTCAAAAAGTAGCTTTTTACAAGTAGCTTAAATCCTTATTAATTAAGTAAAACAGTACGAGGCGCTTCGTTTTTCTATAAAAAATTTACAAAGTTATTCAGAATCAAATCACAAAACAATAATGTTGCAAAAAAGAAGTTAATTTAAAAATTAGTAGAAATAAAAATTTGCATGTGAAATTTGAATTACGCTCGCACTCTATTACTACAATAGTTACAATAAAATTTCGAAAATGTACACAAAAAATTTTTCATAAGATTGTGATTTGATTTTGAATAATTTTATTAACATTTTATAGAAAAACAAAGTATATGTACTGATATTGATATACCTAATTAATACTTAATTAATAAAGACACTTTGAGCTACTTATAGAAACTTTTTGAGTTAAAACCGATTTTCCAATTCGTGCCATCTCCTTGTTAGTACAAATAAATTAACAAATAATAATAAATAAGTATTTTATATATGTTAATTCGAATTAGAACGTAAACTATAATTATATAAAATTGTCAAAATATATAGTTTATAATCGAGAATTTACCTTCAAGATATTTTAAAAGTAATTTATTTCGCATATATATATATATATACATATATATATATATATATATATACATATATATATATA